ACACCTTCTCATTTACTATCAAGTCTTTTAAAGCAATATTGAGAAATAATCTGAGCTTTGAAGTGAAAAAGTAATACTGTTTTTTTTGAATAGCCATGAATTCATGTAGAGAAAAACTTTCGATATGAAAGAGTATTCATTAGAAAGCTTTAATGGAATTCATTTTAGTCTAACAACAAAGTTCGAGTTTATTATAAAAATAACAAGATATTTTAATGACATGAATTTCAAAATTTAAATTTCCACTATGCTACATATCATGTCAGTGATTTTTTAACAGAAACAATAGGCCCTTTACATCTCATGAAGAACTTACCTGTGTATATCATGTGATGTAATCAAATAATGATGGGTGGTGGACAACAGAGAAATTAAAAAAGTCAAGTAATTGATAAAGCAATACCAATATTTGAAGCCACTCATCAAGGTTGCATAGGTCTGTTTGCATTTGATAATGCAACCACACATGCTGCTTTTGCTGATGATGCTTTAGTTGCATCTAAAATGAACTGAAATGATGTTGGAAATCAACCAAATATGAGAGATAATACATTCAATGGTGCTGAACAAAAAATGGTTTATCTCAACAGAATGCAGAAGGGATGAAACAATATTGACAGAAAGGGGATTATTTAAGGAAGGATTGAGAAAGGTATGCTCTGAGTGCAAAACTAAACCATCAAGAGAGCAAAATGAAAAAATAGACTGTTGTGGTTTAAAAATTCTGGAGTTACAGCCAGATTTCAAGGTACAAAAGGAATAAATTGAAAAAAAAGGGACATATGGTGATTTTCTACACTAAGTTTCATTGTGAATTCAACTTCGTTGAAATGTATTGGGGAGCAACAAAAAATTCACAAGAGAAAATTGTGATTATACATGGAGTGGATTATTAACTACAGTATCTTTGGCCTTAAAATCCATTCCTCTTTCTACCATCAGAAAATTTGCATGCAGATCCTTCAGGTACATGGATGCATACAGACAAGGATTATCTATGAATGCTGTGTAAAGAAATATCACTTTCATAGAAGAATTCCTACTAGTATATGAGGCATGCTGCAACAAAACCAGACAAAGTGAACATTTGTATTATGTCAGATATTTCAGAAAATTATAATAAATCAAAGACAAAGCCTATTTTAAAAATGAATAATGACAATGTAAATGAAGAAACTGAAATCAAGAAGGGAAGTGTGGATGAATGTGAAAATGAAGAAAACAAGAGCATGAACCAAAGCACAAATTAAAATGAATATGAAAGTGATGATATTTTTTCCAAATATGTCTGGTTATGATCATACTTTGAAAGAACTTCCAATTACAAAAAAACCAATAATTTATCAATTATTTGTTCAAATTGTCAAAGTATGTGTTAATGAATATTTTGAATTTTCAATCATTTAAATTTTCAGTTGCTGAATCCATTTTCATTATTTACAAATGTATGAACTAACAATTAAAGAGGAAAAGAAAACTGTTAAAATTGGAAAAAATAAAATAGAAGACTTTAATAAACTGAACTAATATCAACTAACTTTCTATTGAAGCCATGGAATTTTTTGTACATATAAAAAAGAAAACTTCGTATCAATATAGAAAACTCTATCATCTAATTGAGTATTCTTTTAAGGAAAATCGTTACTATATTATTTAACACCATTTGAGTATACCATTGGATAATTGAATATTCTCATAAGTCAAAAATTTTTTTAGTATATTAGTATTAATTAGTATTAGGAAAATTGAAAATATTCTGTTTTATAAAAAAAATCTCTTTCATTACTTTCTTTTGCTTTGTGATCCCTTCCTGATTTATTTTTTATTCAAAAAAGGTTTATTTACAAAAAAGATCAATCATCTAATAATGTATATTCAAATTAAAAAAAGCTCACTTTGCATTCTCATTTGTAAACTTGTTTTATTATTAAGTGTTGTATGTTGTTTATCTTATTTTGATGCCAAATCAAATAAAAAGTAAAGATTTATTTAAATAACATTATATCTTGAATGTAGTTTTATCATGTTTCCATAGGAACAATACTACAAGTAGAATGTTATTGCAATGTCATTAATATTATTAAATTACTTCAAAAATTGTGATTGATATAAAATTATTATAATTAAATTCTAAATTATGAGGAAATCAACAAATAATAATAAATGTATATAGAAAAAAAGTTTTTCTTATTGAATTGTGCTCTAGGATCTGCATGCAAATTTTCTGATGGTACGGATTTTAAGGCCAAAGATACTGTAGTTAATAATCCACTCCAAAAAGTTGATACAACATGCTCAACCTTTTTCTATGTTAATGAAATAATCAATAACTTAGTAATTGTATAATGAAGCAAAGTTTATATAGAATCACTATCAATAAACGCTTGTAATTTATATAAGGTAGATATTGCTCGTGTTATTCTTGAGAAATTTTTGTTTTTGCTTGGAATTGATATCTTACTGATTTTTTTGAACCTGTACAATCCATCGAAAGTCAAATCCATGCTAAAAATATTTAACTCATAACCTGTTAAATTTATATCCAGTTAGTTTGACAGATTATACAAGACAAACTTCATTAAATCATGATAGCAATAACTTACCATGTATGAGTATGCCAAGGTTTCCAAACCAATATTTCATATATAAAAAATCCAAAGACCCTTTTAGGAATTCTGCTAGTTTTATTAAATCTTTGTTAACCAAACATTCCGATGTGTTTTGGTGGTTTAATTTCAGCAAAGATAATCTCATGATCATCATCAAAAAGAATGCGGAAATCTGGTTTACGACCATGTTTTTTGTCATCTAATTGATGTCAAGCCTTTGAAGTCTTGGATTCATCATTTGCCCTTATACCCAATTTAAAACTGATTTAGGGATGGAACAATATTATAATAATTATTCTTTCAGTAATGTAAACCTACCATCTAGGATTATATTGAAAATTTCTTCAATTAAAGAATGAAAATATCGATGGACAAATTGGACAAATGTATCTTCATCAATATTATAAATTATATGATTTTCAGATGTGCATGAAAAACTGAAAGTAAACAATCATGAGTATATATTGTTGATGATACAATGACAAAAACAAATTCTCGTTAAATTTGGAACTTACAAATTCCTTGTTATTATTTGAATACAGTCAAATATTTCTCTTTCAATATCATTTACCAAAGTGCACCAAAGTTTCCAGTTATGGTGCCACTTTTCATTCAATTTTTTTTTATCAGATAAAATCTAAATCACAAATAAAAACAATATTATTTTCATTGATATTTTGCTCTTGATACTCAAAAGTGATGACATATGACTTAAATTGCTATACTCAATGGTTATTGTATGAACGATATCTGAAAATGTAATAGGAGTCAAATATTTAGGTGATATATTTTTCCACGCTTCATTACCAAGTTTGATGAATTGGGGCTTATTTTCTTTCATGTATAAGGCATCTGCAATTATGTACAAAAATTAAATACATGAGACAAAAAAATTAAAGTATTATTTTGTTGACAAAATGCTTACAATATTTCATTAACATTAGCAGTATATGAAAGTGATGTATCAGTCTTTAATCTTTCAGTGGTCTCTATTTGAACATTGCGGAAATCTTTAGAGATATTGTAATTCTCTTCGACTATCCACTATAAGTAAAAAATGAGTACACATGTCAGGAATGAGGTTGCTACAAAAATCGTAATACTTCTCAACACTCACATCAAAAGTTGAATCCTTAGTGATGATAATTTTGTTGATTGCATGACTCCATGGAAGCACAAATTTCTTGATAATTATAAACCAATAAATCAGTAAATCAATATATAAAAACCAATTTAATTGTGCAATTACTTGCTTCATTGTCATTTACATCATTTTGGCAGCCGGATATTGAACATGTATGCTATGTGATGACAAATTAAATCAAATGTCAAAAAAAAAGTTATATAAACTTGGTATATAAATATAAATTTCAAGTACATACGTGATTTTTTTCATCAACTCCTCGTTGTTGATTCTTCTTTCGTCGGTAGTAACGACGAGTGGCGATAACCGCCACCACCATTCTTATGATAAACACTTACCCTCTTTCAACCAATTCTTTTTCTATTCTTCTTTTTTGCTGGCGAGGCATTTTTATTTTTTTTTAAAAAAAAAAGGAAAAAAAAAGTTTGTTATTTGATCGACGTGTACACATTAATTATCTTGTTGGTTTTTTTTTTGGAAAAACAACAATATAATTACAATTCGGACGAAAAGAACCCTAACGGATTCTTAACGGGTCCATAATAATAATAACAACAACAACAACAACAATAACAACAACAACAACAACAATAATAACGTTAATCCGTTAACAATCCGGATCGCAACACTATAATGAAGTTGGAAATTTTTTCGATTTCATTCATTACATATAAATTCTGCTCGATATAGTGATTTTTAATATAAAATCTTGATATAATCATATAGTGATTTTTAATATAAAATCTTTGATATAATCATATAGTGAAGTTTTACTTGGTATTATATTAACTAGAGCTCGATATAATGAAGTTTTTAATTTTGTCAATCATTGATTACATAATAATAATTGGTAATTTTGTCGCAAAAAAATTTAATATATACATATCAATACATTTATATAAAACGATAATTATTTATAAAAATAAAAAAAATAGTCTACCTCTCTCTTACTATTAATAAATAATAACACCTTGTCTTCTTTATAAAAAACATACCATACAACATTCCTCATGTAAAAAATATTGTCTATCCAAAAAAAAATCAATATGTTTGCATACAACCCATACGCGTGTAATTAGTGATAGTCAGTGTTGTACATGGGACATGTCCTGGACAATGTCCAAAAATGTCCGCATCCGCTGACAACACTGATGATAGTGATGTTAGCCGGTTAATAATCTGCATACTATACATAATTCTAAATTTGGTAATAAATTTCCGCATTACCTTCTGGTTATAGAAATAAAATTACCAATTTAGGTAGTAAAAGGCTCAGCCATCTAAGGATTTTTTTAACGGCTAACATCATTAATTAATAATCAGGACACAAAAAGTAAAAGTGAATTAAAAGAGCCGGAAAAATCTATTGCTTTCGGAAATTTTTCGGTAAATTTCAGTTATTATTATTAAAAATGCCACAATAAAAAGAACCAAAGAAAGTAGTTGCGATGAATATTTTGAATAAGTAAGAAGAATGGTGGTTATCGTCATTTGTCGTCACCCTATTTAATTAAATGTTGGACCTACACCATTATTTCAGTGAATCAGGTAATATAATTAAACTCATTTATTTTACATTATGTTTGAATTATGTATTTAACCTTTCTTAATGATAGATTTAAAATGAAAGTATACATCCAAAAGAAATTATAATTGGACCAAGTGTTCAAATAGAATCTGACGACGGTGACGTAAGTAATACAACAAAAGAGAACAAGAATGAAGAAAAGCTTGAAAGACTTGGGACGCATACAGTTATTTTTAAACAGTCATTCCAAAAAATTATGAAGGAAGGAAGGAATTCTCTATGAATACACGTCAAAATCGGAATATGAACAATTTGCACAATTTGCGCATTCTTTTATTATTGACACATCTCAAGGACTTGTTTGCAAAAATCGAATGGGAGGAAATCACGAACGTTAATAGGAAAGCCGTCAGGAATTAAAAATGTGTTATTCATAGCATTAAATATCATATGATAAAAATAACACACCTTATATAGAGTTTATGTTAGGAGTATTTATTACTTATTTAAATTCACAAAATTATGTTATACATTTATTCATATAATAATACTTATTTTTACATTAAATTAAACACGTACAGTAATAATAATAAGAAATTTTCATTTAAAATCCGTTGAAACGAAATTACTAATACTAACACTAATACTAATCAAGTTTCAGCGAATTTTATGTTTAATAATGTGTAACAAAGATTTTTAAAATCTGTTGAAACGCGAATTTAATTATAATCCGTTGAAACAAGGATTATACTGTGTATAAGCATGTATCCGAAAAATAATTATTTAGAGTGAATATCATTAACATAATTTTCTTCAAGGACATTCAAATTCATAAAACCAATTGCTGGTTCATTTCTACTTTGATTGCTATATTCCTCAGAATCACTGGCATTATTGGAATCACTTGATTCACTTGATTCACTGATGGCTAATCTCTCATATTTATTGTAGTCAATAATAGTATCATCACCATTATCTACTCCTTTATTTATAAGATATATAAAAACAATAAAACGTACTTTGAACTTTTGCATCCTCACAATGACATACTTATCTTTTATATCTGTTCCATATTTATATTTTGAATATAATTTCAGCAATATATGTATCATCATTACTATTTCCATTGTTTTAAACAGTTTTTCTTACACCACTCAGTTTTTGAGGAGGTTTTCCATTCTTTTAAGTTAATCTAATCTAATCTATCTTTTCCAAGTATAGTAAACATAGCATTTTCTATTTATAACTATTGTTATAATCTATTATTTCTTCGTTGGAATTATTATCCTTGTAGTCGTTACCATCACTACTTATGTTTTTATTTTTTTCTTTAGTTTTAAGCGTAATCCAAACTTTTATCGCGCCTATGGTTCTAGCAACAGGTTTCGTTGTTTCATTATAAAAACTTTCAATAGCCTGGAATCCGATAACTTTTTATTTTTGTTTCTTTTTTAGATCTCTCATAACCTCATTAATAATATCTGTTTCAGTATGATCAATTTCTTGCATAGTTTCATTGAAAAGGTTCTTGAAATTTCGCACAATATAAGAATTTGAAGACGATGAACGGATAGAAGCTGGAACAGATAAACGAAAACGTTTAACCTGGATCATTGACATGAAAGGCTTGAAAAAAAAAAGATAAAATGCTTACCTTGAGAAATATTTGACAATTCATTTGAACCGTCTCCCGTAAATTGTTTTAGTTGCCTCTCTTCATATAACAATTGAATCTTTTTAATAGGGTCATCAAATTTTCAATAACATCTTCGGGTAGAAGTTTTTGCGCAATTTTCCAGTGAATTAAGAGTGATGACGGTTGTCTGTTTTAAATTATACAGAGCGAAGCATACAATTACAATAATTAGGTAAACTGGGAATTTCCCTTCAATAATCCACAATATGATGACAATCAAGATTGGTATAAAAATGAAATAATTTTCTGATGGCATTAGTTTGAAATATTCTAAGATGAGGTATTTGTGTTCATTTGTGGGGATTAATTTGAGTGCATAAACTCATTAAAAGGGATACTCAACAAAAAAAACAGTCGATGCATCAATATGAGTCAGAGACCACTTTATAAATTATCCGGTATAATGAACCTTTGATTTGACGAATATATGGCTAGCTTTTTGATTTGATGTGGTTTTGGTTGATTTACAACGTTTATTAATTTATTTATTAACATAGTTTGTCATTGGTAAACTTCTCCATTTTTACCCTCTCATTGAAAAAATTATCCCAATAATGAATTTGCATTATGATAATGGTAAAGATGTAGTAAATGTTGGTATGCAAGAAGATGGTGATAGTGGTGACTAAGAATTAGATAGTGAAGATAATAAGAGAGAAATTATTAATGAAGTAACTTTTAATAAACTTTTATGCTTTAAAAAAAAATTTTTTTTTCATATTACAGGATCCAACAGATAAGTCAACTGGCAATAAAACACCTAGAAAAACCTCTGTAATCAAAATTATGCAATAAATAAAGCTTGCATTCGAACGTCATATAAGAGAGATTGGCCAAGAGGTTGAATTGGACGGGTTACGATTCAAATATGACACAATAAATTGCATCCAAGAGGCATATTTTTTTCTTTCCTTTTTTAACTAAAAGGTTGTAAAATATTATTAATAATCACTTTTAAAAAACAGCTGGCAAAGACTCAATTAAGACAAAAAATTTAAAAAACATTTATAATGATTTTATTAACCATTGTTTTCTTTTGATCAATTGTTGTTTCAGTAATTTGTGATAGATAGATTTTAATATAAGCAGACCTTGCGTTTGCCTCACAGTTCTGCGATAAAATTGTGTTGACAAATCATTGAAATCAAAAATTTTTTTAAAGGATGTTTTTTAAATTGTTCATGACAATGTAGACTATTTGAATGCTCTTTGGGTTTTCGTTGTAGCTTTTGTAAAAACTTTTAATAATAATGTATATAAATGCCTTATAAATTACCAACCATTCAATCTTGTCATTTTTAGTATCCTACAAAATAATGATGGTTTTTGTGAGCCAAAAAATGCCATATCATCTCCCCTCCCACTACTGATTACGATTGTGGTCAGGTGCTTTACTTTTTATAGAACATATTGGTTGATTTGGTTGTTGCATTCAGAAATATATAAAAGAGTTTGCTGGTAATAATATATCATCCATTTTAGTTAGAGGTTGGAATAGTCAACTAAACTTTTTTTTGAACAACTAATAGTCGACTACTAATACTACTAATACTAATACTAATGCTAATATTAATAATATATGCTAATATTATTAATAATAGTGTAGAAAAATTCTTTCGCGTAACCAAAATTAAAAAATAAAATAATAATAAATACGACGAATGACTAGACATTATAACTCGAATTCTAAAAAACAAGCTAAAAAAAAGCAAAATTTTCATGAGAAAGAATCTAATGTAGATGTTAATAAAGCTTCTAATTCAAATATGATGGAGATAGATGCAAATGCAACAAATGCACTTCAAACATTTGCAACATCAACAAATGCATCTATTATTAATATAAAAGAACCAATTTCACCTCATTCTATTGAAGACTCATCAAACACATTTAATGGTAATGGAAATTCAGGTTCAAATGTGGAGGATAACAAGATGACACAAGAGTGGGTAGTTGTCAATAAATACACAAATTTTCGAGCTGCAATTTTAATCGATCAAATACCAAGTAAAAATAATATTAATAAAAAAAAAATTGTTGAAAAATTTTTGATCAATTATAAAGGGTTTGTGGGTCTCTACATTACTAGATTTGGCAAACAAAGGAAATTTGTTGCTAACTTCGATAATGAAGAGGATCTTAATAACCTTGTTGTCACAGACCTACCTGATTATGAAGGTATCCGTTTCTCTAAAGAACTTGCACCAGTTGGAAACATTAATAAAGAAAATTCAATAAGAGTTAAGAATATTCCACTTAATACAAGTTCAACTTTAGTACGTGCTACTTTTGAAAAATATGGAAAAATTATTAAATTCTCTATGCAAACCAAAGACTTATGGCAAGAAGCCATAATTTATTTTGAAAAAAAGGAAGATATTTTACCATTTCATAATGAAACATGGGCAGTCTTTATTCTAAAAGATATGGTTAGAGTAGAACCATTAAGCATGGATGAAAAACAGTATGAAAAAAGACATTTACATGCCCTCAAACTTGGTCACCTCCCTTTTGGAACTACAGCAAGAGATCTTGTTGAAATAATCAATGCAACAAAAGCAAAGGCAATTTTCATACCTAAAACACGCAAATCATATGTCAACTGTAGATATGGATGGTTTTTCTTTGATTCTGATGAAGCAGCACATGATGCACAAATTAATTGGTATACTCTCAATAATACTGAATTATTTTGGGCATCAGAAGATACTGCACTCTGTAGAAAATGTGGACATCCTGATCACACTATTACAGGTTGTCAGGAAATTCAATGGGCAAAACAAAAAAAAACCAATATATCCAAATTGCAACCTTTGTACAACAAATATAAACCTGCTCAACATCGTAAACCACGAACACACCCACCTGCAAATAAATCAAAAGAATTATCATTTGCAGATGTTGTAAAAAACCGTATTAGGACATCTCTTGATGATTCCATTCATGCTGAAAAAATAGGTAACAAAACAGAAGATGTTTTAAAAAAACTTATGGAAAAAGTTGAAGATATATCAACCAAACTGAATCATCTTACTCAGAATATTCAGGAAATCAATATCAGAATTAAAGTACTTGAGGATAAAGACAGTACTAAACCTAAACAAGGAAATACAGATTCTTATAAAACTGTATGCACTCCCATCTTGAAAAAACCCACATACAAACCTGGAATTTCTAATTCTCACAAGAGATCTAGAGAATCTTTTACATCTTCATCTGAAGAAAGCCAAGCTTCAACAACCAAAATTAACAAAAACACTGATGAAAGTCAATTAATTGTTAAACAACAGGAAGAACTAAATAAAAATGCAAAAAATCTTTCTCAAGACATGGCTGACATCAAAAATATGATTGGCAATATTTCATCTAAATTCATTAATAAATCTAATAATGATGAGGATGATGTAAGTTATTAAACAATTGGTTATACCATCTCGTAAATCTAAAATAATTTAATAATGAATATAAACAACAAAAACAATAATCAATTTAATATTAATAATGATAATAACGAAAATTTAATGAATAATATTTCAAATCCACATACAAATAATATTCCTATATTTACATCACAACTTATTCGAATTGGAACACAAAACATCCGAGGAATAAATGATTCACATCTACAAACTATAGTCAAAACACTATGCAAAGATAACCAAATGGACATAATTGGTATATCTGAAACCAAACTCAACCGTAACAACTCTAAACATTGTATGAGAAAATGTAATACATTTCAATCTTTTTGGAGCTCACACCCTGACCAGCCTAACTCAGCTGGTGTGGGTCTTCTTTTTTCAAAATCATTAGCCAGACATATAGTAAAAATTGAAAAATATCAAGGACGCATAATATATGCTGACTTATATTTTAAAGGAAAGAAAAAATTACGAATTATTCAGGTGTATATCAATTCTAATACCAACAAAAAACAAGAAAGAATTACAACTTCAAAACAAGTAATTAAATATTGTCAAGAGGCATTAAACAAAAATTTTTTTACAATTGTAATGGGTGACTTCAATGCAGACCCTGAAATTCTTCACAATTTGCAGATTAATAATCATAATATACCTTACACATATAATCTGATTTCAACATTACAAACTTTAAATTTTATAGACAGTCTTAAAATCACAAATCCAAACTCACCTCAATACACATGGTCTAATAATAACTCAAAATCACGTATAGATCAAATTTGGATTTCACATAATTTTGCTCATGATCTTGCTCGCACAAAAACTGTTGATTATACATCAATTTTTTCAACAGACCATAAATTAATATGGTGTGATTTAATAACTTCTAATTTTTACAAACATCGTTCCGATAATAATGAACGTAAATTAGACAACAAAAAGAAAATTTATAAATTTGAAAAAATGACAAATGAAAAATGGCAAAATTTTGCATCACTTACTGATAAGAATTTAGAAAGACATTGGGATTATAACCAGTGTATAAATAATTTTCAACCTACATGTTCTTGGTTAAATAGATCATGGACCATACTTCAGCAAATAATTATTCAAACTGCTGACAAAGAAATACCATTTGATAAAATTAGCAGGAAAGATAATAATAAAAGATCCAAAGATACTTTGATATTACATAAATCCCTTAAATCATTTGGTCGTTTACTTCAACAATTTCTTCAAATCAAAAATCTTGTAAATATAAATCAGCGCAATACCATGTGGAATGATATAAAAAAGAACATTACCAAGATTACTCAAAACCTTGAAATACCTTTAGAAAACCTACCTGATACTTTATATGATAATGTATATGAACAAACATATAAATATTTAATATCTATCTTCAACACCATTAAATCACAGAAGAAAATAGAAGACAAGATTGAAATTGAAAAGCAAATTAAATTTTTCACAGAAAAAAGATGTGAACATTATACATCAAATCAAAAAGTCATGATTAACAGCATTTTAGAATGTGAAAAACAATCTATTAAAATTAATCGTTGTGTAATTAACAAAGATGGTGAAGATGAAATTCTCCTCTTACCTGATGATGTTAAAAAAGCAACTAAAAATCATTTTAGCAGTATTTCAAATAATAATCATACTATACCTAATACATTACCATCTCCATGGTTTAATCAATATAAATCAATCAAACAAATTGATCCCATATGGTATTCAAATTTAATGAACCCTCTAACATTAGTTGAATGGTATTCTATTATAAATACACTCCCAAATGGAAAAGCAAGTGGGCCTTCAGGCATTACAAATGAAATGCTCAAGCACATAGGAAAAACAACTCAACAATTTCTTCTGAAAATAATAAATCAATGTATTACCATCAATGACATACCAGATGCATGGAGAGAGGCAACTGTTTATCCAATACCAAAACCACTGGATTGGGAATTACAATTGAATAATACACGACCAATTACATTACTGGAGACACCAAGAAAAGCTTTAGTGAAAATTTTAAATAATAGAATATCAGAAATAGTAATGAAACATGATATTTTAAAAGGATGTAACTTTGCAGGACTTCCTGGCAAATCCACACATGAGCCAATACATATTCTCAATATGTTAATGGAAGATGCTCGTGAGAACAATAAAGAAATGTGGGTTTTATTTCAAGATATGAGCAAAGCATATGATCTGGTTAATAGAGATATGTTACAACTTGCTCTTAAAAGAATTGCACTACCTAATTCATTCTGCAAATTCATCCATAACATTTTTAACAAAAGAGTAAATAGAGTTGTTACAGAATTTGGACTCACTGATCAATACACTATCAACAATGGCATTGATCAAGGTGAAGTAATTTCACCTCTCATGTGGTGTATATACTATGATCCGTTACTCTGCGAGATTCAAAATCAAAAATCACTTGGATATCAAATAGAAGTTGAATGGAAACAAGACCTTCGATATAATGAAACCACCAAACTTTCTGAAACAATATCAAGTCTTGCATATATGGATGACACAACTTGGTTTGCACCATCCAAAGATAATATGGAGCGAATTCTAGAAATTGCAGATTCATTCTATGATCTAAATGGCATTAAAGTAAATAAAAAGAAATCAGAACTTTTAGTTATAAATTCACCTACACCAATTCCTTCAACTTCCATTATTTTTGGAAAAGATTGTACAGAGGTTTTTGCAAAGCCAATCAACACATCTATTAGATTTCTAGGTGTATGGGTTAATGCAAAAGGGTCAACTAGACATGTTAAAAATTCTGTGCATGATGAAATTATCAATATGGAATCAATTATGAAACATAAACACCTTACTGATAAACAAATATTATATATTTTCAATCGTGTAATGATTCCTAGATTAGAATATCGTCTACAACTTACTTTGCTGTCTGAAAATGAATGTAAAATTTTGGGAGCAAAATGTAGAAAATTATTCAAACAAAAGGTTGGCCTTGCATCTACTGTTCCTAATGCAGTTACTAATACACATACGATATATAATCTTTGTGATTTATGGGATTGTCAAGTACAACATCACATAACCAACCTATGTGTTCGCCTAAATGACAATGGAATTATGGGTAAAATTTCTAAAATCAAATTACATCAATTACAACTCAATTTGTGTTTGCCTAAAAGTCCATTGGAGTCTTGGAATTATTCAGTTTCTCATCTTCGTTTATTTAGAAATAATCTTATGGCTGGCATCTTATGCATAGCAAAATTTTTCAAATTCTCACTTAGAACAACATATGATTCTGAGTCTTTCATAATTAAAGGTGGACAAATTTTACTACAAGATATTTTTGCTGAAAAATATACATCATTTGTAAATGCACTGGCTAAAAAACAAGTATTATATCTTGATCAAATCCTCTGTTGTGAAGGTACACACTTACTTTTTTGGAAACAAGTAGTCTTACGTTTAAAAATTAATATACGTGGTCGAAAACCAAAATGGTTTTCATCATTAGAAGAATCTATCCTACATCACTCATCTCGTGAAGTTCTAGATCAATGGAAACTACCTAGATGCAACTCATTCCCTATACAATATTCACTTAATTTTCCAAAAGACTCTAGAATAAGGCCTTTCATTGCAACCTACCAATTTGAAGAAATAACTTTTGGTAAGACATATGAACTAGCTTCACCAAAAAACAACAATCAACTTATCATCACTCATTGGAAATCAAATACCAACATATTAGAAAACAATCATGATAGTTTTCAACTAAGTCAATGTAAAGGATGTGAACTAAACAACCTTATAAATAATCCAAATAGAATTGGTTGTTTATACAGTAAACCACAGAAAGAATGTATTGTCATACCAGCCAAGAAATGTAATTCTTCTGGATCCAATATCATCACCATAACATTTCCTAGATGCGAAATCATAAAGGCCTTAGAATACAACTTTGATAAATTCAATAATAATAATAATATTATTATTCCAATATGTCCAACAATATATATTGAAGATAACAGACT